TCTGTGTGTTTTTGTTTCCCAATACAGAGAAACTGCGCCATCACATGTTCACTTATTATTGTGTGTGTGTGTGTGGTTGTGAGTGTGTGAACTCTGCGTGTGTGTGAGTGTGTGTGAGTGTGTGTGTGTGTGTATGTGTATGGTGGGGTGTGTGTGTGTGTGTGTGTGTGTGTGTGTGTGGTGTGGGTGTGGTGTGTGTGTGTGTGTGTGTGTGTGTTTGAGGGGGGAAGTGGATGTGAACGTTGGCGGAGAGAGGAGGGGGGCATCAGATGGTGAATCTAAGCTGCTGTGGCTGAAGGTGTGTGCGTGGAGAGGGATGCTGCTAGCATTGACATGTGTGCCGTCACGAGTTCGCACCGTGTGAGGAGTACATGCAGAGGACGGAGAGCAGCTCCCATATCAGCTTCTTCACCACAGGCTGCTTCGCCGCAAGCAGCACCGTCAGGTTGTTGATCTGAACAACAAGCAACAGCAGCAGCCATCGTCGTGAAGTGTGAGGGGCGACGAGAGCGCAGATGAGATCCCCTCAAAAGCAATACAAAGCCAGCACACACATGCACACGCACGCACCGCGGGCTGTCCGCCGTCAATGAGGGCGTCGATACCGGCGCGGTGGTTCATCACCGCAGACACGCAGCGCACACCGTGCTCAATGTGCACCGCCTGGTCAAGGCTCGGGCTGTCGTCCCCCATCATGTTCTGACATGAGGAGAGCACGGAGCAGCGGGCAGAGAGTAGTGGTGAGCAAAAGGTTCCGCCCAGAATCATAGTCACACACACACACACACACACACACACACACACACACACACACACACACACACACACACACACACACACACACACACACACACACACACACACACACACACACGAACATGCATGCACGTGAAGAAAGATCCAAGGCGGTGATTGAACTGTAACCTGGATGGCGGAGACGATGGCGACAAGCCCGTCGCGTGACAAGAACTCGTCCAGCCATGCATGCGGGGCATTCTTGATGGTTGTACACAGCACGCCAAATGGCGGACGTGCCCACTGCAGGCTCGCTGCAACGCGTGTGATCGAGTGCACGCAGTAGAATGAGCAAGGCCGCTGGCCAAGGGGAATTGACCATGACATGGGAGAAACGCTTGCACTATGTGTCAACGACACAACAACCGTGGCTCACCAAGCACGTAGTCCATGTCTGTGTCCATCAGCTTTCCTTTCAAGTTCTGCTCGTGCGTGTGAGAGTGTGAGCGTGTGAGCAATCAAGCAGGTATGCAGCGGCGACGCAATAGTAACCAAATCAGGTGTGCAAGAGGCGATGGTATGACATGTCACAGGCGATCGCAATGCCTGGCCAGCAAGACATGCAGGGACGTACCACGCGCATCTTCTTGAGGAGGTCGGCGCCGCTCGTGCGTCGACCCGTGGTGGCGGGAGTCCCTTTCATGTTCTTTCCTTCGGTTGCCTGTTGCTTTGGCCCCTTGTCCCGTGTCTTTCGTGTTGATGCTGATGTCACAGTGCCTGGATCACCGGGTTGCGTTGCGGTGGATGTTGTGGTGGATGCCTCGTCGTGTGATGGGCTGCCTTCGTGCTTGAAGCCGCTGCTGTCGCCATCACCATCTTCCATCACATCAATGTAGCCAACATCCTCCGCGACGTCCTCGTCAACGACCACGTCATCACCGGTCTTGCTCGCCATCGTGCTGACTGCGGCACTCTGCAGGAACACAGGCTGCAACAAACACCAACAAGCAAGCAAGCAAGGTGGGAGGTTGGTTGTTGGGAAGGCTGAGAGTGAGTGGTTGGTTGATCCGTCGCGCTTGGCTCGCAATTCAAACAAGGGCTCGAAGTCCGTCGAAACTCGTATGAAATCATTCACGAATCGCCAACAATGACACTGCTTGGGATACAGCAGTTGCTGCCGCCACAAAGACAAGGCGACACAAACGGCAATGGGAGCCGTGTCGGTGGTGTCGGTAGCAGCAGCAGCAGCAGCAGCGGCGGCGGCGGCGGCGGCAGGAGAAAGTCTGTGGCCGCCGAGGCTGCGGCTGCGGCTGCAGCAGCAGCAAACGCTGTGACCAGGCTGCAACCGCTTTTGTCAGACCACCGCCGTGAACTTTCAGAACCATCCATCGAACGAACCTACAAGCATGTGCTGCACACGCTCAAACGGCACACCCCAGCCCATCTTCGCCAACGTGAGCCACAGCGTGTGTGTGTGTCTGCATGTGTATGTGCGTGTGTCTGCATGTGTATGTGTGTGTGTCTGCATGTGTATGTGTGTGTCTGTGAGTGTTGTGTGTCTGCTTCTGTCTGTCTGTCTGTGTGTGCATGCGCGTGTACCATTGCTACGTTCGATACGTTGTGCGTTCGGGCTTGGTCTTGCTCGTCCTCCTTTGCTCTCACCAAGCACTTTGCAATTCACGATGGCAGAGGAACTGTTTGCCTTGGGGTTTGCGGGCATTGAAATCGCCAGGTGAGTGAGCTGGAGTACAGTTGTGCCAACACCTGGTACGACTTGCTGTTGCCTTGTTGTCTTGCCCATCGCTCCTCCTCCCATAGCGATTATGCTGTTGCGTTTGCTCAAGCTGTCCTCACACTTGTTTGCGCTTGTTTGCGTGTTTGTTTTGCGTACCATGTTGCGCTTGGACTCCCGGCCATCACATTCACACACACACACACACACACAGCTTCCTGGCAGGCGCTGCCATCTCATCTGCGTTTCAACTGTTTCGGCACTACGTTCTGGTGCGTGTGCAAGCGGCGTTGCGTGTGTGTGCTGCAACCTCGTTGACCCCGTTCCTTGCTGAGACCCCACTCACGACTAAACCTCGTCTCCCCACCAACGTTGCCTCTCCTCATCTGTTTGACTCGCCTCCACTCTTTGCCAGGCACCACGACTCAGACAGGACTTTTCAGACGTCGTTGTTGACGTGTGTGTGTGTGTGTGTGTGTGTGTGTGTGCAGGGAGGCTTGAAGCCCATGTGTGTGGCCTGGCGTGTCTCTCACGGTTCGAGTGTTTGCTTCCTATTGCGGTGCAGTGGCTGGTCGTGCTTGGATCCGGCATTGTATGTGACGCCATCGTTGCATTTAAGGACGCCCACATCAAACTGCAGGTGCTGTTTGTGTGTGTGTCTGTGTGTGTCTGTGTGTGTGTGTGTGTGTGTGTGTGTGTGTGTGTGTGTCTGTCTGTTTCTGTTTCTGTGTCTGTGTCTGTCTGTCTGTGTGTGTGTGTGTGTCTGTGAAGAGCAATCACACGTTGCCTCTCGCTTGTCGTTGAGTTCTCCATGCCATCTGTCCTCTGCTCAACGCATTTTCCTCCTGCCCTCATGCCCGTTGCCCTTCGCCCCACTCCACTCTGCATCACATGCTGCTCTATTCGCTCGGTGCAGGCATATGTTGCGCGTCGCTCCATCGTTGGTGATACATCGCCAAGCGTGTATGCCATGCTCACCCCCGCCGTATCCATGTCCCCTCTCTACGCCCTCCCTTACATCGCCATGGCCACGGTCTGTCTGCACTGCACTGTACCGTACTGTATTGTGCTGTACTGTGTGTGTCTGTGTGTCTGTCCTTTGCGTATCTGTGTGTGACTACCTGTGTGTCTTGCCCTCTGTGGCGTGTTGCCTGGTTCTCTGTACGCGTATATGAACCGATATGTGTTCCCCCTCCCTCCCCTGCTGGATTGTCGTTCTCATGCCCCTCCCCCTCCTGCCGCTACTCCTGTGCTCAGGGCACCTACGACGCCAACACCATTCTCGACGCCCTCGCCACCGAGCCGTGAGATGATCCGTGCCATTGCTGCTGGTGTGCTGTGCCCCTCACTGTGCCCGCCGCTCTCCCACCACAACATCCCAACACTCACTTACTTACTCACTCACTCACTCACTCACTCACTCACTCACTCACTCACTCACTCACTCACTCACTCACTCACTCACGCATTTACTGACTCACGCACTCACTGACTCACTCACTCATTCACTCATTCACTGACGCCATTTGACATCACTCATGCACCCCATTCGCGCTGCCCAGTGCGGTGCTGAACGCGGCTGTGGTCATTGGCGCAGTCGACGTGGCTCTGCGCTCCCCAACGGTGGAGAGAATTCGCTGGCCCTCGCCCAACTCTCCCCCAGATATTCTCCAGGCGCACACGCACTTCTTCCGCCGCAGCATCCACGACCGCGCCCTCCGCGCCAACTTGGTCCTCGTCCCCTTGCACGCGGTGAGCAGCGGGGAGGGGGTTGCTTTGCCGCGCGTGCGTGTGCTCTATCTGTGTCTGTGTGTGTGTGTGTGTGTGTGTGTCTGTGTGTCTGTGTCTGTGTGTCTGTGTCTGTGTGTGTGTGTGCACGTGTGTATGTGTGTGTATGTGCACGTGTGTATGTGTGTGTAGGTGCGTGTGTGTGTGTGTCTGTGTGTGTTTGCACGTGTGTATGTGTGTGTATGTGCGTGTGTGTGTGTGTGTGTGTGTGCGTGTGTACGTGGCTGTTTTGCCTCGGACGCATTGCTGCCATCCTGTTCCACACCTCATCGATCAGCCAATGCTCTTGCTTCTGTTCTCGCTCCTGTCTTGTCACCTCAATCTCCACTGCTGCTGCTGCTGCTGCTGCTGCTGCTGCTGCTGCTCTGGTGCTCAGGCGTTTGCTGTGGTCCTGCGTCGATCAATCAACGACGTGTGTGGTCCTGCCATTTGCCCTGAGACGTTGCAACAGCACCGAAAGCCGTGATGATATTGCTTGGTTCTTCTTCTTCTTCTTCTGTTGTTACACGCATGCATACGCGCTTTCACGCACACAAGCGCCCACAAGCACGACTGCATTCACCACGCAAACCCTTTCTCCTCATCTCCGTTGCCTTGTGTGTGTGCAGTGTCCGCGCGTGACGCACGCCACCTTTGTTGCCGGCATCTTTGCAGCAGCAGCAGCCGTTGTCGCCGAGCACGTGGCGGTCAGATGTTGTACCACCGCCTGTGATTTGGTCGTGTGTGTGTGCCTGTGTGTGCCTGTGTGTGCCTGTGTGTGTGTGTTGTCTGTGTTTGTCTGTGTTTGTCTGTGTTTGCTTGCTCTTGTGTGTGTGTGTGTGTTCGTGTGTTCGTGTGCTCACTGGTCTGTTTCACCTGCGCCACACGCCCTCTGCTATTCACCCGCGCTCATGCGCTGTCTGGCTGCTTATGTGCTGTAGATTGGGGTGCTGCTGTGGGCGGCGGCGGCGGCGACGAACCGGTTCCGGCGCGTGCTCGGATTGCCGCCCCCAATGTGGCGGGAGGTGCGCCCGCGCCACGAGGGGCAACAACAACAACAACAGCAGCAGCAGCAGCAACAACAACAACAACAACAACAACAACAACAACAACAACAACAACAACAACAACAACAACAACAGCAGCAGCAGCAGCAGCAAGCGACGCCTCGCAGGCGCGGTGCTGTGCGACGGGCTGGTAGACACAGACACAGACGCAACAGATCAAGTTGATGCAATGCGAGTGTGTGTGTGTGTGTGTGTGTGTGTGTGTGTGCGTTGTGTGTATGTGTGTGCGTGCGTTGTGTACGTTGTGTTTGGTTTTTGTGTGGTGTTGCTTACGTGGGCTTGTCGGGCCAGCAGAGCAAGGCAGAGCCTCGTTCATCACCATGGTAGGTACTGAATTGAACCAATAAATGACCGCTGTTTTGTTGTTGAAAGCGGCGTGGCCAGGGCATTCGAAATCAGGAAATCAATAACGTGCGTTCCGCCGTGTGGCGGGGAGTGCATCTGAGCGTGTCTCGCGCGCTGTCCTGTCGGCTCGAGGTTGATGGAAGTAACACAGTAGCGATAGTGAGCTAGTGAGAGTGTTGTATCAAGAAAAGCTAAGATGTCAGCAGCTGCACGTTGCTGTGTGGGAGGAATCCATGGGAAGGAAAGAAAATGACAAAAAAGGCAAGAGGAACATGACGAGAGAAGCACACACACACACACACACACACAACACACAACATACACAACCACACACACACACACAACCACACACACCACCACCACAAAGTTCAAATTTGGCGGCACGTGAAAAAAAAAAAAAAAACACCACAAGCCGACCAGTGTGCACTTCCTTTTCGCTTCGCTTTCTTCTCGTGTGTTCAGCAGCAGCACAGCAGCAGTCAAGATGAGCGTGAGTGGTGCGGCTGCGTCGTCGTTGTTGTTGTGTGCGGTGCTGAGACTGACATGGCCAGCAATGCAACGCGCGGCCCTTGCCTTGCTTCTCGTACCCCTTGCTCCCCATGTACACATTTACCCCTAACCTGCAATCCCACACAATTGCGCTTGTTCTGTTGCTGCTGCTTGGTTTTGTCGACTCAGACACCACCCGCACGCGACGAGGAACGTCCACAAGGTACCACTGTGCGCACCTGTCGTCCGCATGCCGTCTGTTCTTCACCGTCTCATCATAATCTGGCTCGTGCGCCCATGCCTGCTCTCACAGCCTCCCCTCACATGCGCTCGCCTCTGTTCATTGCACCCCTGACAGAAGACGGTCGCCGCAGCCGCAGCCGCAGTCGTGACATGGACGACACCAGGTACGGCTGGACATACTCAATGTACCGACGGGCAAGCCTTGCGTTGAGAAACCATACGCACAACCCTGCTCTGCCTCGAACATGGTACCATGGTGTGATTCAACCTCACGTGACAAATCCACTCGTTCAATACAGGGATCGCAGCCGCAGCCGCAGCCCTGCACCGCGCAGCAGGAGCCGTAGCCGTAGCCCCGCGCCACGCAGCAGAAGTCGCAGCCGCAGTCCGACGCCAAGAAGTCGCAGTCGCACACCTCCCCCTCGCAGCCGCAGCCGCAGTCGGAGCATTAGCCGCAGCCGGAGCCCCACCTACCTCGCAGCCGCAGCCGTAGCCCGTTTATTAGAGGCGGAATCCTTTAATGCAACTGTTAAGCTGAAACGGGTGGTGTCGGCACGCTCGAGCTAGCGCGTTTTTTGCAATCCTGCAGGGCACGCGCTGCGTTAACGGGGGTGTGATCACAGGTAGTTATGCGCCGTATGTTAGTCTCACGCCATCCTAGAAATCAGAATCAGGTCCCCAAGCGCCGCAACCGCAGCCGCTCCCGTGATCGTTCGCGCAGCCGCAGCCGGTCGCCTGCGCGGCGCCGCCGATACCGCAGCAGAACCCCACCCCGGCGGCGCTATCGCGACTCGCCGCCACGCCGCCGCTTCAGCCCCGAGGGCTCCCGCTTCAGGCCCCGGCGCGCCACGCAGCGTCAGCGCGTACGTTGGCGGCACAGCCTGGCGCCAATGCCGTGCGCAACCCACCTACACCCCTGCACCACCCTTCTTCACTTACTCGATACACATCCGCCCACATGCACGCACACATGGTTGCTGTACCTCTCCGTGCATTCGCACGTGTGTATATGTGTGTGTATATGTGTGTGTATGTCCATGTGTGTGTGTGTGTGTGCGTGCGTGCGTGCGTGCGTGTGTGTGTGTGCGTGTGCGTGTGCGTGTGTTCCCCTCTCTCTGCTTGTGTCCCACCTCTCTGACGCCCTGCCCCAAAACCACCCCCTGACACTGCCCACCTTTGTTGCAGGAGAACCCGGAGCCGTCGTGTGTGCTGGGGGTGTTTGGTCTGCACGACCGCACGGACGAGCATGCACTTGAGGAGTGCTTTGGCGAATTTGGCGACCTTGATCGTGTCATCATCGTCAGGGATAGGAAGGTGAGAGTCAACATCGTGAGGTTACCTGTGACAGACGTCTGACCTCTGCAGCGCCAAGATCTTGCCTGCATAAGTGTTGGTGTGCGCGTATCTGCGTATCTGTGCAAGTGTGTGTGTGTGTGTGTGCATGTGTGTGTGTGCATGTGTGTGCTTGTGTGTGTGTGTGTGTGTGTGTGTGTGTGTGTTTAAGTGTGCGCTCACGCGACTGCGGGTCTCATGCAACACACCACCACCGCCCCCCTCCACCCTACCACCCGTCCGTTGCATGTGGAAAGACGGGCGAGTCGCGGCGGTTTGGGTTCATCACCTTCAAGCGGCAGGACGACGCTGATGCTGCCCGCGACAAGCTCAACGGCAGCGAGCTCGATGGCCGCAGCATCCGCGTCGATTACTCCGCCACCAAGCGGCCACACACCCCGACTCCCGGTGTCTACCTCGGCGGCGCAAGGTCTGCATTTTGAACAGCCTGCTTGCTTGTTCGTTCGTTGGTTCGTTGGTTCGTTGGTTTGTCTGTGCATCGTGATGAGGGGAAGACATGCGTTCATGCGTTCATGCGTTCATGCGTTCATGCGTTCATGCGTTCATGCGTTCATGCGTTCACGCGACATGCACGTGCTGTGCTGTTGATTCCTACAGGGATCGCGGCCGCCCCCGCCGCAGCCGTTCTCGCAGCCGTAAGCGCCAACCGCACACACATACGCACAGCTACACACACACACACACACACACACACACACACACACACACACACACACACACACACACACACACACACACACACACACACACACACACACAC